CCCCCCCCCCCAGCCAGGTCACAAGATCGCCTGGCGGGACAATGTAAAGAGCAAATATCTGTAGCTCAGGGTTGAATTGTGGGGGTCCTTGACGCTCTGAGCTGGGTTGTTTTCTTGTAGACGATTCATCAACGCTAGAAGGGAATGGGGTTTGTGGGGAGGGGGGAGGAGAAGGAGGGCGGTTATAGGGTCCTTAATGCTCTGAGTTTGTGGTTTTCTTGGAGACGTTTCATTGCCAAACTAGGTAACATCATCAGGGCTAGAAGGAGTGGGGAGGAGGAGGAGGAGGAGGGTTGTAAGGTCCTTAATGCTCTGAACTTGGCGGTTTTCTTGGAGAACTTCCATGACCCAACTAGGTAACATCATCAGTGCAAGAAGGGAGGGGGTGTTTGCTCTCTCACTGATAATGTTGCCTAGCTGAGTCATGAAAGGCCTGCAAGAAAACAGCCAGCCTCCAAGAATGGAATGGAATACAACAGAAGAGTAGAGTAGAACAGAAAGATGAGTAGAATAGAATAGAAAGATGAGTAGAACAGAATGATGAATAGAATAGAAAGATGAATAGAATAGAATAGAAAGATGAATAGAATAAAATAGAATAGCAAGATGAGTAGAATAGAATGATGAATAGAATAGGATAGGATAGGATAGAATAGAAAGACGAATAGAATAGAATAGAAAGATGAATAGAACAGAATAGAACCTTGGAGGTCATCTAGTCCAACCCCCTGCTCAAGCAGGAAGCCCTCTACCATTTCAGACAAATGGTTGTCCAATCTCTTCTTAAAAGCCTCCAATGTTGGAGCACCCACAACTTCTGGAATCAACTCGTTCCACTGGTTGATTGTTCTCACTATTAGGAAATTTCTTTTTAGTTCTAGGTTGCTTCTCTCCTTGATTAGTTTCCATCGGTTGCTTCTTGTCCTGCCTTCAGGTGAAACTCACCATCTCTTGGTGATGGACCCAAAGTCACTCAGCCAGCTTTCATGCCTAAAGCAGGACTAGAACTCACCATCTCCTGGTGATGAACCCAAAATCACCCAGCTGGCTTTTATGGCTAAGGCAGGACTAGAACTCACTGTCTCCTGGTGATTGGCCCAAAGTCACCCAACTGGCTTTCATGCCTAAGGCAGAACTAGAACTCACCGTCTCCTGGTTTCTACACCAGCACCTTCAGCAGTAGACCAACCAGCTTTCTAACAAACTAACCAACAAATAAATCCTCTTTCCATTTGCCTTCCAGATGTTCTGGACCCCCCCCCCAAAGGATCTTACACTTGCTGAAGTCGAAAGACAGCTGCAGGCTGGCACACAGGTAAGCTTGGCAGCTGGAGCATTTCAACATGTCGCACTCCACGTTGGTCCATCCGTACTTGGCACAGATCAGGGGGGACAGCTCGTGGGGCTTGCCTGCCCATTTGAGGGAGTGTTCGCGTTAAGGAGAGCGACTCAAGATTTTTGAGGGGATTTAAGAAAATCTGGCTTTCCTATCAACTTCTACAGACTGGCATGAACAAAAGGTGCTTTTTCAGGAGGCAGCTGGACTTTTTGATTTTTTTTCCCTTTGAAGACGTTTCGCTTCTCATCCCAGAAGCTTCTTCAGCTCTGACCAGATGATGGGGAATGGAAGGATTTATATTCCTTGCAGACAATGATTGTAGAATCATTGGGGCCACTGGGAGGTTTACCTGTGTCCTCAGGGTCACCTGAGTGGTGCAAATGGGTGTTCCAACTCTTTCCGTGGTTCCAAGAAGGCTCCACACCCATTTGCATCACTCAGGTGACCCTGAGGACACAGATAAACCTCCAAGTGGCCTCAAGGACTCTCTTAAAAATGCAAATGACCAGCTGTCTGCAAGGAGTATAAATCCTTCCATTCCCCACCATCCAGTCAGAGCTGAAGAAGCTTCTGGGATGAGAAGCAAAAGGCCTTCAAAGGAAACATAAAGAAGTCCAGTTGACAACCATGATCTGGATGACGGAAAATCTCCATAGACATTAAACTAGCATGAAATTTCATCCCATTCTCACTGCTAGCTACGGAAGCTCTCAACATCTGGACAGCGCTTAGCCAAGAGGGGAATAATTGAATGCTTCACCTGTTGAGACAACCCACTTTTCATTGAAAACAGCACCTCCCACTTTAAATACAGGTGGTCCTCGACTTAGAACGATCCATTTAGTGACCGAAGTTACACCGGCACCGAAAAAAGCGACCGATGAACGTTTTTCATGCTTACGACCGTTGCAGCCATCCCCAGGGTCACGTGATCGAAATTCAGACACTTGGCAACTGACTCGTATTTATGACGGTTGCAGTGTCCCGGGGTCACGTGATCCCCTTCTGCGACCGTCCGATGAGCAAAGTCAATGGGGGAAGCCAGATTCGCTGAACGACCGTGTGGCTAACTTAACAACTGCAGTGTTCATTTGACAACTGTAGCAACAGAAATTTGTTGCTCAATTGAGGCCGTAAGTCGAGGATTACCTACATATTTTGTTCCCTCTGGGCACTCCCCCCCCCCAAGATTAAGCCTTAGAACCGAGACTCAAAGGATATGGTGAATGTTTCCACTCTGCTGAAGAAAGCGTCTTTGCTAGTGGCTTCAAACGGTAGCTCATTGGTGTCGGGAGAGCCATTGGCCACTTCACTGAGGACAGAAGGATCTTTCCTGAAATGCAAGCGAGAGGCTTCAGAGATTTAAGTTCACAACAGCGAGGATTTAGTAGTTTCTCTCCTATCTCCCTTTTTCAGCCCCCCCCCCAAAAGTGTACAAAACTAACTTGCGGTAGAGGAACACAGCGGTGGAATTTTTGAATTGGTTTGGACCTTTGAGGCCATTCAGACTGACCCCCCAGCTCAGGGCACCATCTGAATGGAAACTTCCCAAATGAAAGGCTGCTCAGTCCTCGTTCTTAGGCTTTCATGGCTAAAGCAGGATTAGAACTCACAGTTGCCCAGCCGGCTTTCATGCCTAAGGCAGGACTAGAACTCCCACTCTCCTGGTGATTGGCCCAAAGTCACCCAGCCGGCTTTCTTGCCTAAGGCGGGAACTAGAACTCACCATCTCCTGGTGACTGGCCCAAGGTCACCCAGGGGGCTTTCATGTCTAAGGCAGGACTAGAACTCATAGTCTCCTGGTGATTGGCCCAAGGTCACCCAGCCGGCTTTCTTGCCTAAGGCGGGAACTAGAACTCACCATCTCCTGGTGACTGGCCCAAGGTCACCCAGGGGGCTTTCATGTCTAAGGCAGGACTAGAACTCACCGTCTTCTGGTGATGGGCCCAAAGTTATCCAGTTGACTTTCTTGCCTAAGGCAGGACTAGAACTCACCGTCTCCTGGTTCTCGCCCAGCACCTTCCCCACTAGACCAATAATAATTAAAACCCCACCCATGAAAACCATGCTCCACGGCGTCCCCATAAACCACAGCCCCTTCCCCTCACACAACGGGGCCAGAGCCCGCCTCCCCTGGGGCCCAACCGCCGCCCTCTCCTCCGCCGGGGACGAGCAATGCCCGGGGTGCCGGCTGGAGGCGGGCGGGCTCCGTCCCTCCGCGCTCACCTGTCCGGCCCGGCCTCCTCCGGGGCGATCCCTTCGTCGATCAGCTCCCGCACCTTCTGCGGCGTGATGGCCGGGGGCTTCGGTTTGGTCGCCACGGCGCCGCTCTCGTTCTCCGGGACAGAGGGAACCGCCGCAGGGCTGGACGCCGCCATCTTGGCCCGTCCGTAAAAACCTTCCCCCGCTTAACGAAAGACCGGAACCGGAAGTTCCGGGGAAACTTCGTTCCGGCCTGGCTCAACTGCCTGCTCCGGCCTTCTGCATGGGGCTGGAAACGGGGAGGGGGGGCATAGCCTGAAAAAAAGCCCCCCCACACACAATTTGGTTGATCCCACCGATGCACCGGATTGAACATGCCAACCTTTTTCAGCCCTGCCAATGAATTTCTGGGATTCACCGTTTAATTTACCTGGGGGGTTTTCTGAAACTGACCGTTTTGGTTTTGGTTACTACATCCAGTTTTGGTCACCACGATGTAAAAAAAGATGTTGAGACTCTAGAAAGGGCGCACAGAAGAGCAACAAAGATGATTAGGGGACTAGAGGCTAAAACATACGAGGAACGGTTGCTGGGATTGGGTATGTCTAGTCTAAAGAAGAGAAGGACCAGGGGGGACATGATAGCAGTCTTCTAATATTTGAGGGGCTGCCCCCAAAGAAGAGGGAGTCAAGCTATTCTCCAAAGCCCCTGAAGGCAGGACAAGAAGCAACAGATGGAAACTGATCAAGGAGAGACGCAACCTAGAACTAAGGAGAAACTTCCTGACAGTGAGAACAATTAACCAGTGGAACTACCTGCCTCCAGAAGTGGTGAATGCTCCAACACTGGAAGTTTTTAAGAAGAGACTGGACAGGCATTTGTGTGAAATGTAAAGGGTGTCCTGCCTGAGCAGGGGGTTGGACTAGATGACCTCCAAGGTCCCTTCCAACTTTTTATTATTATTATTATTATTATTATTATTATTATTATTATTATTATTATTATTATTATTATTATTATTATTATTATTATTATTATTATTATTATTATTATTATTATTATTATTATATACCTGGGGAGTTTCTGAGACTGACTGTTTACTGTAATTTAGCTGGGGACTTTCTGAGGCTGACCGTTTAATACACCTGGAGGGCACCCTGTTGGGGAAGGTCCCTGGACTAGAACAGGAAGGTGGGGGGACCTGGCCTTTTTTCAGTCCCATGGTTAACTTTGAACACTCACTAAATGAATAGTTGTAAGTCCAGGACTGTCGGTACACCACAAAGAACCGATGGTGGGACACTCAATTTTTATTGAGATCTTAGAGAGGCTATTTATTATTAGGTTTTTTTTTTAATCTTTCTATTTTTATCTATTTCAAGTCTGCCTTCCCAACCTGTTGCTTTTTTCCCCAGGGTGGTCATTGCAAT